TTTGACTTTATCTATTCATATATATATATTTAAACTTAATAGAGTTTATATACAAAGCTTAAATTAATGGCTATAAATAACACATTGTATGTTGAATACATAACAATATATCACAACCAACTGTGAGTGAGTTTTATGTTATTACATTTATGAAATGCATAACAGACTGTTGGTATGTATGAATGATATATATACATACATACATATATATATATATATATATATATATATATATATATATATATATATATATATATATATATATATATATATACAACACGTACTGTAATTATTGATACATGATAGTGCTGAATACTAAATGATGATGATAGAGAACAAGATGATATGATGAACTATATGATTTTTTTAGACTAATCTAGACGCATAATATCTTCGTGGTTCTTCCTCCGGCTTTTTGGTAACAGCTTCCGCAACACAGGAACTTAGACGCTCGTGTTGTACTGCGTGACGGGGGCGGCGTTCTGCGAGGCCAAGGACACGGACGAGGCCACAGGAGGAAGCGGGTTGTCGATGCCCTCCAGCACGGGCTTGTGCGAGGCCTTGAACTCCTGGTACTCGCGGCGGAGGATGGCGTCCTTGGGGCACCAGTCGGCGTTGGGCCTGAAGGCGCTCCGCACGGCCTCCAGCAGGGAGTCGGCCTCGTCCCGCCGGCGGACGACCTCCACCACGAAGAAGATGGGGATGAGGAGGCACGCGAAGACGGCGATGCAGATACCGAAGGCTGGGGGAGAGGAAGGGGGCGTTACGAAGGGGCATTGAGGAAGGGGAAGCGCGAGTGTGGAAACCCGACGTGGGATTTGTAAAAAAAAAAAAAAAAAAAAAAAAAAAAATGGATTCTAATGTCACTTTGAGATCCGTTTTGGCCTCGACTTACCATTCGCTCCGGGGCCGAAGACGTAGCCGGAAGCTTGCAGGGGCTTGGCCTTGTACTGCCCGTAGATGAAGATGAAAGCCAGCAGGACGGGGATGAGGAAGGCCCAGCAGAACTTCCAGTAGATGCCGGTCTTCCTCTGGAGCATGAATTCGATGTCGCGGCAGAAGTTCTTGATGCCGTAGACCCACTGGACGGCAGCCACTTCGGTGATGGCCAGGATGAAGATGATGAAACCCTGGAGAAAGGAAAAGTCAGTCGTTTAAGGACAGTTCTCTTTCCGTCTCATCCTTTCCTTCACAATTCATAACACACAGCATAATCCTACGCGGCATAATCTTACACAGCATAATCTCACGCAGCATAATGCTACACTGGCTACTCTTTCCATCAACTTACGGCGCCGTAGTGGTCGATGAGCGTGAGGATGTACTGGCCCTGAGGCGTGACGTAGAAGAGGCCGAGCAGGAGGCCGACGACGCAGACGGCGAGGGTCACGATCCACCTCTTGAAGGAGGGGAACTCGTCGCAGATGATGGTGATGATGCAGCCGGTGAGGGCGGAGGCGCTGCCCACCCCGAGAGTGAACAGCATGAGGAAGAACAGGACGGCGAACAGCTGCGGCGCCCAGTCGAAGCGCGAGAGCACCTCCGGGTAGCTGATGAAGGCCAGGGAGGTGCCGTCGCTCTTGACGACCTCCTCGAGCGGGAGGCCCAGGAGGTGGGCGAGGTGGCCCAGGATGGCGAAGGTGGTGAAGCCGGCCAGGAGCGAGGTCAGGGTGTCCGTCACGGAGATGATGGCGGCGTCGCGGTACACGTTGTGGCGGAAGGAGTTGTAGGACGAGAACATGATGATGGAGCCGAAGCCCACGGACAAGCTGAAGAAGGACTGGTTCACGGCGGCGTACCACACCTGGAGGAGGAGGGGGAGGAGGTCAGCGGGTTCTCGGAGGCTTAGATCATTCGTAAAACATACATGAATCAACTGGGGAAACATGAACAGATTCTCCACGTAAACACGAACAAGAGCGCCCACGAAGGGCAAATCCTTACCCCAGGATCAAGGAGCTTTGCCCAGCGGGGCGTGATGAAGAACAGGATGCCGTCGAGCGAGCCTGGGAGCGTGGCCCCCCTGATGAGCATGATGAAGAGGACGAGGTAGGGGAAGAGGGCCGTGAAGTAAGCCGCCTTGCCCGAGCTCTGGACGCCCTTGGCCAGGATCACGAAGAGGACGACCCAGGAGAACAGGAGGCAGAGGGAGAGGCGCCATTCGGGGGCGTCGATCCCGTTGGCGAGGCCGTTGGGGTCGGACTTCAGGACCTCGTTCCTGAGAGGCAGAAGAAAAATGTCATAAGACCAGACGTTCTTCTTTCCTTCCGTTCTTCCTCTTTAAACATTACCAACTCAAAACCTTGCGCCATGACCATGATGTAAGTCCAGGTAAACGCGGTGCGACTTACTTGAAATACTCGTCCGCGGAGGAAACGAGACTGGAGGCGTTGAGTCCGAGCGCAGTGACATTGTCGTCCTTGGAGATGCAGTTCACCTGGACGTCGGGGGGACACACCGACCACGGCAACACGCTGGAGAAGGACGCGAAGAAGTAGAAGACGGTGAGGGCCATCAGGGACACGTAGTAGGTCACGACAGCCCACGTGGCAACAGCCTGTCCGTATCCAACGCCTGTACAACGAAACAGGAGGAAAGACAACGTCGTCATTTATCGGACAACATAAGAATATAAACGAAAGAACAACAATAGAGGAAAGATAGCATCGTTAGATATCGGAGAACATATAAGAACAGATCCGGAGAACGGTCCCGAATACCAAATGAAGCCCACGAGACGCCTCCTCGCAAGGAACGCGCCGCCGACTCACCACGGAAGGCCGGCGCGAGGTCCCACACCCTCACCGATCCCGCCGACGCGAACTGGCCGAGACAAAGCTCCATGTAGTAGAGGGGTTTGCCGATGAGCAGAAGGACGAGGATGTAGGGGATGAGGAACGCCCCCCCGCCGTTCTCCAAGGCCACGAAGGGGAAGCGCCACACGTTCCCGAGCCCGACGGACATGGCGATGCACGACAGGAGGAACTCGATGGGGTTCGACCACTGGTCTCTCGAGGGTTCCTCGGAAGCCTGGAACAAAAGCGAAGAGGTTGTTGTTCACAGAGTTAGAGACCAAAAGCGAAGAGGTTTATAGAGTTCAAGAGCGAAGAGGTTGTTATTTTCAAAAGCGAAGAGGTTGTTTATTTTCAAAGCGAAGTGTTTATTGAGTTCAAAAAACGAAGAGGTTGTTGTTCATAGAGTTAGAGACCAAAAGCGAAGAGGCTGTTGCTTATAGAGTTTATAGTCACATGACATTGTGAATCTTGGAAGTAAATTCATAAGTAGAACGCGGTGTTTATGTGAAGAAAAAAACAAGGAAAAGAGACTTTCTTACAAGGAAAAACCCACGGAGAAAACAGATAAGAAAGACTTTCTCGTGTTTATTTTACCATGTGAGAAAACAAAGATTTCCTTATGTTATCATATGAAAAAAACAAAGTAAAAACAACCCCTTTACTTTACCATGGGAGAAACCAAATTAAAATTAAAAAAAAAATTTTCATATGAGTAACTGAAACCACTAAGCTTTATATTACCATGTGAGAGAAAACGAATAAAAAAATAAATAAATAAAAACAGAAAAAAAACAAAATTAATGTGCCCTTGTCCTCTGATAAAGCAAAAATTCATTTATGAGGACAAGGCGAGCGACTGAACGCGAAGCAACTGATAAAAGGTGAGGAGGTGAGAGGAGAGAGTAGAAGAGGAGGAGAAAATGGAGAGAAACAGGAAGAGGAAGGACCTTGATAAGAGGAGTAAAAGGAGAAGATAGAGAAGAAGGAGATGGGAGAAAAGAGAATTGAGAGACGGGGATGAGAGGGGTAGAAAGAAGGAGAGGAGGAGAAGAGGAGAGAAGAGAGGAAGAAAATAATCTCTGAAAGTAAGAAGGAGAAGTAATATATAAATGAAGGAGGGAGGAGACGAAGACGAGAGAGAAGAAAAAAAGAAGGAAGGAAGAGAAGAAGAAGAATGAGAAGAACACGGAGAAAAGAAAGAAGACAAAGGACGAGAAGTAGAAGAAAGAGAAGAAGAATGAGAAAAAGAAAGAAAACAATTTAGGAGAAGTAGAAGAAAGAGAAGGAGACGGATACACTGGGGCTACAAGGCAGGGGTACACGGGGTATGGGGGGGGGGGGGAGGGGAGTAAGGTCACGCAGGAAAAAGCTCTCTTACCTCAGGGCTCGTCATTTCCATTTCCACTTTCGCCTCATTTTTGCTCTTCTTTTCGTCATTCTCGAATCCCGGGTTGATGGTGCCCTGTTGGAAGGAAAAGGGAAGAAAATGATGTCTTTGTTGCCTTGAAGAAGAAAAAAATGGAGGCGCTGTAACTCGGTGTGTTATTTATCGAGGTTTGAAAACGAGGGAAAAAAAAAGTGGCATCTCTCTATTCGTCGCGATTCTGGACAATCATCTTAAATAAATGATAATATAAGATATTCGTGGGTCGGAACTTCTCTCAGGTTTTCTTTGTGTCACACAATCCACTTAAGAAGTAGAACAAGGGCGGGCGGTGAGAACTTGCAATCATAAGTACATTTATCTTTTTTTTTTTTTTTTAGACAACGCATTCCAGTCTCGGAGAATACACGTACCTCCCCTTTCCAAAACATCACTTTGGAAACGACGCTGTCAATAGGTATCTTCATCGTTGCTGTCTTTCTAAAACTCCAATCACTTCTTAAAAGTCTTGTACACTTTCGTATATAAGAAAAGTATTTGTTGTTTACTATGGGTGCGCTCTCGAACACGCTTTCAATAACACTGATAGCCGATGCAGCGTTGGACGCGGTTTATATGCCTTGATCTTTCCGGACGGATAGATGCCATGTAGGATTTTTCGGTGTTTTTTATTTTCCGCTTGATAGACTTACCAAAATGCATTACGTGTCATGAATATAGATATCATGAAACTATAAAGCAAGAGGTATTATTTTAAGAAATTAAGCTGCTATATTATCATTGACAAAATTAAATACACATCAGAGAGCAACGCATTTCCA